AAGCTACAGAAATAAGAAGAAATTAATTCAGGGCTTTTCTTGTAAATTCTATAACTTTGCAAATAAACGTCATGTAGAGCTGGGGAATGCCTCATTTTAATCAGAAATGTGCGCGCTACAATTATATCTCATTTAAAAATGTTTTGGTTATTCTTGAAAGTTTCTGAAAAACTGGTTTTCTAGAAAACTGGATCTTCAAGAAACATTGGGAAAAATGCTTTATGCCACTAGAATCAGCTCGTCGAGCTCTATCGATTGGGATACCTCTCGTTAGCATCTGTGATTAACACTTGGGATAGTTCCCTCGTTAGACTATCATTGTCCACAATGTACTAGACAACCTGCTCAGATCATTCTTTTATTCGATTGTTATTAAATCTCAAATGTTTTTTATATTTAGATAGTCCAACTGGTATGGAATTGAGTCCTGATGGTAGTTATTTAGCGTCAAATTCTATGGATTCTACAATTCGTATTTGGGATATTCGTCCGTATATTCAAACACAAGAACGTTGTATTAAATTGTTACAAGGTCATCAACATAATTTTGAAAAAAATCTTTTGAGATGTTCGTGGTCGCCAGATGGTAAACGAATATCGTGTGGTTCAGCAGATAAAAATGTGTATATTTGGGACGTTGCAACGCGAAAAATTCTTTATCGTCTACCAGGGCATTTAGGATCCGTGAATGAAGTCGATTTTCATCCACACGAACCGATAATTGGATCAGCATCAAGCGATAAAAATGTTTATCTGGGAGAAATTGAACCTGCATAAATCAATAACAACTTAATATATTTTTAAAATGACAATAACACAAGATCTGTTGATTTTCTTCTTTTTTTTGCGTGTGTGTATGTGGATGCTTATCTTTCCGGTGAGCAATATGTGTCTTTTCTCTGTCATTCGTACGAAAGCTGTGTAGCTCTATCAAATTATGGATTCAATTTATATTTGTTACTTCTTTCTTTTAAGGATTGAAGTCGTCAGATGATAGTCAAATTTTCAATATATATGTGTGCATCAACGTAAATGTTTTTTCTTCTAAACGTTTATAGGGATAATGACTTTTAATCTAGAGTGTTATTATGGATAAACCTAATAGGGTTAATTATAAATTTTAATGATTAAGTGACGTTTGTGACGTCTGATAGTTAAACTCATCTATTGATATTAAATCTTAAAACAGGTTCTATTCTTCTTCATAGAAAATATCCTTGTTTTATTCATCTATATGATAAGAACTTAGGTAAAATTGAAAATGTTATTTCTTGGATCGATGTGCATTGTACATAAAGTTTGTTTTCGTGTATGATGTTAAATAAAAAGAAAATTAAAATGTAAGAAGTTAAAATATTATGATGTATGTAATATGTTAAGAATGGAGGTTTATAATAATATTGGAAGATGACTTTCATTTAAAAAACATGTTTATGACACCTATAAATCTATTGTATCCAGATTTGACGAGTAAGTTTTAATGATTATTATTATAATACAAGAATAATTTAATGCTGCTAATATAATAATTCTTACACATTAATTATCTATTTACTTTTATCCATGGGTAAATACTGCTTTTTGAGTGTCTCCACGCTTGCTCAGTATGCCAACTTACATATTTCTGTATGTTTCTGTCATATTTTTGTTTGTGTATGTTAAGATGAGTCTCCAGGATCGTATGAAACATGATGAGAAAAACAAAGCATTATATCAAAATCAATCATTTGCCGAAAATTCAGCTGCAAATGGATTGGAACAACGAACATTACTTGATGTTGATTCAGAACCGGTTAGATAAATAAATAAAATTTTTCTTTTTGTAGCTTTTGTTTTGTTTACTCTTTTCAGTGGAATACTCGTCATACAAGTATTATTTGTACACTTGGTAAGTTTCATGAGCTGAACTACAAATGAAATAGAATTTATTTATTCTGTCATGTTATAGGTCCATCTTCTCAAAGTGTTGAAATATTAACAAAAATGCATGCAACTGGAATGAATATTGCTCGCTTAAATTTTTCACATGGCTCATATGAAGTATGCCAGAATTTTAGAATCTATGTTGTTCTTATTTAGTTTATTTGTATTAAAATAGTATCATCAACAAAGTATTGACAATGTTCGTAAAGCTGAACAATTGACAGTCGACAATGGAGGTATATTTCGTCCAATTGGTATTGCATTAGATACAAAAGGACCTGAAATTAGAACTGGTGTTCTTCAAGCTGTAAGAGTAAAAGTTAAAATTAGATATATTCTATTATTATTCGATTATGTTTTTTCTTTTAAGGGCGTGAATTCTGAATTAGATTTAAAAAATGGTACACCTGTTCGTATAACAACCGACGAAGCATATATTGATAAATGTACGGTGGAAAATTTATACGTAGATTATAAAAATATTGTCAATGTTATTAAGAAAGGAAATAAAGTATTTATTGATGATGGACTCATAAGTGTAGTAGTTAAAGAAGTTGGTATGTTTACAGTAGTAGTGAGGTAAAAAGAAGAAAAAATCATTCGAATGTTTATTGTAGGTGCAAATTATTTATTGACCGAAGTTGAAAATGGTGGTTTGTTAGGTAGCCGAAAAGGTGTGAATTTACCAGGTGTACCAATTGATTTACCAGCCGTATCATTAAAAGATCAACATGACTTGGAATTTGCTGTTAAAAATAAGGTATATGTTTTGGGTATATACAACATCATTTTTTATATTCTGATTGATGTTTTTAGCTTGATATGGTATTTGCTTCGTTTATTCGGGATGCTAATGGAGTTAAAGTTATACGTGAATTACTTGGCAAAGAGGGAAAAGATATTAAAATTATAGCGAAAATAGAAAATCATCAAGGAATACAAAAGTAAGAGAGAGTATAGTCATGTACATTTATAAATTTTTGTTAATTATTTTCATCAATTTTAGCTTCGATTCTATATTAGAAGTTGCTGATGGTATCATGGTTGCTCGAGGTGATATGGGTATTGAAATTCCAGCACAAAAAGTATTTGTTGCGCAAAAAATGATGATTGCAAAATGTAATCAAGCAGGAAAACCAGTAATATGTGCAACACAGGTGAATATGATAAAGTAGACGAATATACCAACCATTTCATTAATTATTTAGTCTATAGTAAAAATTGAAATAAATAAATAAATTAAAGATTCGCTTATTTGTAGATGTTAGAAAGTATGACAAAAAATCCACGTCCAACACGTGCCGAAGTTAGTGATGTTGCCAATGCCGTATTGGATAATGCTGATTGCGTTATGTTATCTGGTGAAACAGCAAAAGGAAAGTATCCTGTTGAATGTATAAGACTCATGCATGAAGTAAGTATGACACTCAAGCTAAATAAATACATCATTGAATTTAACTTCTCATTTTAGATTGCTCGAGAAGCCGAAGCTTGTTTATTTCATCGAGAATTATTTGAAAATTTACGTTATTTTACTAAACCACCATTGGTAGGTTACAGTTAATAATTAGATATTTGCCGAAATACATCCTGTTATAAATTCTCTATTCTAGGATCAAATTCAGTCAACAGCAATTGCCGCTGTGGAGGCCGCATTCCGAAGTTTTGCATCGATTATTGTTGTCCTAACGCATTCTGGAAAGTATGTTAGAGAGAGAGAGAGAGAGAGAGAGAGAGAGAGAGAAGTTACACTAGATAAAATAAATACTCCATCGTATTTCTCATCTTTAGATCAGCTCATCTTATTTCTCAATATCGTCCACGAGCTGTTATAATGGCTGTAACAAGAAATCTATCTACAGCAAGACAAATGCATTTGTATCGTGCTTGTTTTCCTGTTTTTGTCAGTGAGTAATAGTAACACTTTCTACTCAGATATTTGCTTGACACTTGTTTTTGTTTATCCTTCATTGCAGAACCTCGTACATCAGGTAAATAACAGTAATTGAAAAACGACGGAGATATTTAATAATTCTGAAAATTGAAACATTCACGTGTTGTTCTATTTCTAGAGCACCAGACAGATACATCCGCAGTGGGTAAAGTAGCTGATCAAACAGGAGGTAAAGATTATTTGTAGAAGTTATTTCATCAGTTTGATTTACGGTTTTATTTTTAGATTTACATATTGGTGCAGGTAATTTTCATTTTCTTATATTTCTGATTATTCGGACGTTTTTGTTTGACTGTCTTAGCGGATGCTGTTGATCCTCACAGTTTTCATCAACAACGTATGATGACTCAAGAAGCTACGGCTATGACAGAATGGCTAATTGATGTCGATTCACGTGTATCAGATGCTATACGTATTGCAAAAGACAGAGGATTTTGTAAATCGGGAGATGCTGTCATTGTTGTTACAGGTAAGGAAGAGAGTATTGAATATTTATTGAAAATGCTTACCATTTTCTTTGCGCTTTCTGTTTAAGGTTGGCGAGCTGGTTATGGTACAACCAATACACTTCGTATTATTTATGCAGATTAATATACAGCATCTACTAATCCACTACTACACTTAACCACTCACCTTATTTCTGACTAGATACATTACCTTTGTCAGATTTAGTCATCGTTTTCGGGGTTTTTTTTCATCTACTAAAACTGACAAAGTGTACCCATACAAAATAATTCTTTTTTCTTTTAGAAAATGAAAGATTTACAAAATTTTGTTTGTGTTTTTTTAAAATAACAATGTCAGAAGAATTTGCCTTTTACAACTCCTAGAAACAGTTTTTTGTGTCATTGTGTTTTCTATTTATTTTTGTGTCTACGTCTCTGTCTTATGTTTAATTACATATTTTAGATGAAAAATAAATAAGCTAAAAGTTCGTTAGACAGTATCAGTGTCAGAGGTGCAGAATCTGCCCGTGAGATTGAGAAATTTTCCCCGACGAAAAAAGTTGTCAGTAATTTCCCCGAGATAATTCACGAACAGAATTTCTTTTTACGAAATATTTCCAAAAAGAAATTCCAATTTTTCAAAAAAATTTCCCTGAATCAATAAATTTTCCCCCGGCGATCATCGGAGCAAACAGGCAGATTCTGCAGCTCTGATCAGTGTTTGATGGCATATAGGCCTGTAAAAGTTCACGTTTCGTTTCTTAATGTGAACGCTAAAGCACTGATGAATGTGAGCTTTTTTTATACGAACGGTGATCATATTGTCGGGTGTAAATATAAAATTCTGTTCTTGTATTCTAGTAAACATATATATTTTTGCTTGGTTTCATCTCATAAACAGAAACTCTAGTGAACGATCGGATGGTCTGCTCAGGGCAGTGACCAGATTATTGCAATATGAAAAGGATAGTCACTGATTCCTCCAAGAACAGATCGCCGATTTCCTGACCAGAAGGCTAGTTTTTCCTGCAGTGGAATTGAAGTTCCTTGTTCCAAACCATTTCAGTAACGACATACGTTTTCCTTTGTTATCGTAACCCATTTGGGGCAAACGGGCGTTGATTTTTCACTAAATATAACTGGTAATGGAGAAAGCTGTTTCACTTGGTATACTACTAGGTGCACTTGCTATATAATGTTTTGCAGTACTATTCATTCCACACAAGATCAACACCGTTCATACAAAATATAGTTCACGTTCACCAGAATATTCGCGTTCACGTTCAAAAAACGTCATGTTTAGCGCTAACGTTCAAGGAACGCGAACGTGCTTTAGCGTTACGTTCAAAGAGAACGCTAAAAAGGAACGCTGAACTTTTGCAAGCCTAATAGCATGTCGTCCATATCGATGCACACTAAAATTGTGGATAATACTAAGAGTTATAGGAATGTGTGTTTCTGCTAAAACCTTCATGTTTTTTTGTGACGAGGTCGGTGTTTGTCCACAAGAACTTCATGTTTTTTTGTGACGAAGTCGGTGTTTGTCAACAAGAACTTCAGGTGTTTTCGTGACGAAGTCGGGGTTTATATAATTGTAGCCCGTAAATTTCTGATTAAAATGAGACGTCTCCCAGCTCTACATGACCTTTCTTTGCAAAGTTATAGAATTTACAAGGAAAACCCTAAATTAATTTTTTGCTTCTTACTTTTGTAGCTTTCGAGCTGAGAATGGACATTCAGGATTTTCCTTGTAAATTCTATAACTTTGCAAAGAAAGGTCATGTAGAGCTGGGAGACGTCTCATTTTAATCAGAAATGTACGGGCTACAATTCTGTCTGGTTAAGAAAAGTTTAGGTTATGCTTTAGAGTTTCTGAAAATCTGCTTTTCCAGAAGGCCTTTTTCTTTTACTATGGCCCACCGTTTTTTTTGCACTTTTAAGGACATCAAACGATAGCTCTTGAAAAGTTACATCTAATGACAAGTTTCCGAGTTGGTTCAAGACTTTCATCCGGGCCGTTTTTGGTTAGTACTGACGAAAAACCCGTTTTGGGGTCGTGGTTCTAAAATGGTGTCTTAGAAACGTTTTCAAAACTATGTCTGATAACAAGATCGGATGCAGCGTAAAATTCTGCGTCGAACGGTGTGCTTTTCTAAGTATCCT